TTCCCCTTCCTTTTCTGTTAGGGTATGGGCTCTTAACCTTTTCCTTCCATGGGGTGACCTACAAGACGATGGGGGCTGAGGCTTTCAGGTGCCACATACTTGCCTTTCCCTGGGGTGACAACATGTGGCATTTCATGGAGGCTACCCTGCCACAGGCAACCCCACCACACCAACCCAGGGTGGAGTTTCAGGTCTTATCCAGGACCAACCTCCTGGTTATCTTGCCCTGGCACTCCTTGCCCCTCCTGGGTTACAGAGCTCCTTGGCCTCCCACTGATGTGATACACCTTTCTGTGCCATGGGCTTCCAGCCCAATTTCTTGCCTCTTTTGGGCTACAGACCTCTGGCCCCCCTGGCCATGGCTCACTGTCACCCCTAAGCCCCCTTCTGCATTCCCCCACTCAGCCTCCCTGGTCTTCCCTGCCATGCCTTTAATCTTATCTTTTAATAATTTGGAAGTCAGCCTTCAGTTCTGCTGAAGTGACACTCAGGTGTTGCTCTCCACAATACATATCACTGGGCTGTCTCAACTACCACAATCAGCTGTTTGTTGGTCCCTCATGTCCACTGATCTAATCAGCACTTCAGGGTCATCAGGCTCACTAGCTCACTCTACACTTCCTGTTGTTATCCAGTCCAGCAAGGCCTTAATGGGCACCTATATACATACACTGAGGCTGCTCTGATGCACTGTAATTACTACGCGTTAGAGCAGACTCAATTAATCAGGTCTGCTGGAATGTGATAATTACTGTGCTCCAGCAGACTCCAGCATTATGTGCATCAGGGTCCCTATGCTGAAAAATGGGGGCACTTTAACTAAAGATCATCAAACAAGCTTTAGTTAAAGTGCCCCTACTGCCATTTTTCAGTGTGGGGACATTGATACACATGATTCCCCAGGTGCTTTAATTAGAATGGCTCTTGGAGCTGGTCTAATTAAAGTTCCGCCCCCAAGCACATCAACTCCCAATAAGGTCTGTTCAGCACTCAGTCTCTACTGGGCCTGCAGCCTCAATTAGCCTACAAGGCTGCTTGACCCTCAGTTAGCTCCAAGGAATAGGCAGATGCAGCAGACCTGAGCACTGACTCAGCCATTACTATTATCAGCCTCCCCTCTAGGCCTCAAAGTAGTCCTACCACCTCCCTCTGTACAGATTAGTCCCAACAGGGCTTGCAGCCCTTAATGGTCTACAATAAACCACAAACAGAATCAGGGACTCCATTCTTCCTCTGAAAGCTTCAACAGCTGGGGCTGTTCTGACCTGGCTTAATGTATTATGGTCCAAGGCACACATTCAAATGGCACACCCAGGAGCCATAAACTCAGGAGCAATAAGCTTCACATTAATTGTAGGTATAGATGCACTCAGTTTGTATTATATATAAAGTGGATATAAAAGTGCTGCTTATGTGTTTATGTACCTGTGCTAAAATTTGCAGCAATTTCAAAAAAGATAAAATGCAATAATTATGGATGAACTACAGTAGAGTCTCCCTTACCTACCTTTGCAATTATTTCTCCATTGTTTTCTCCCCTCCCTTCCCTTCTTTATCCTTTGTTTTCCTAATTTCCACCTATTTACATTCTCACTTACATCCTGTCACACTTTTAACTTCTTTCATTCCTTGGGGATCTCAGAACAGCAGAGACTCCGTAGGCCTGAAGAAGGGTGCCTGTGCCCGAAAGCTTGCCAAGAACTTTTTTCCAACTGCTCAGTTGGTCTAATAAAAGATATCACATCTACCCAAAGAAGTGTGCCTGCCTATGTCCTTAGACCAGCGCGGCTACAACCAAAAACTCAGGACAATCTCCAATAATTAGATTCTATACCTGGAAATATAAAACAAATGTATAAATGTTCCATATATGGAATCTAATTACTGGGGACCATCTTATATTCAAGTAAATATGGTAAGTTTACAATGTAAATATGCTCTCTGTGTCTCCTGTTTTCTTCTGGTGGCACATTGTAGTTTTTAAGACCTCTATATTTTTTGTATTAAAGATCCTAAGGTACAGAGTGTCGAGACTTAAAAGGAGAAGGAAAAGGTGTATGTGTAAGTGTGATGCATTAGGACTTCCCATACATTATGTGTTTGCTTGCATTTGCAAAAGACTGGACTCGCTGGCTGAGCAGTTCCTTCACTCCTATGATCCTACATACATAGTTTGGGAATGAAAATAACAGAGAGAAAATAATACATCAAAATGCTATTAGCAGCCTTTCAAAAATAATGGAAGAGGAGCAAAACATCAGCTTGCTAATGGGACATACTGAAACAGTTACAGTGTACTACAGTAATGAGGAAATGACTCAAGGATGTAGTTTGGTCAAACTGCATGTACATGGTCTCTTAAAGAGCTCTTGGGCACTAGGCTGCTAATAGATGTGAAAACCTCCCCCACAAAATGAGCACTTTACAGGAAGAGGAAGGGTGTTAGTTTGATCTGGCTCCCCAGAGTCTATATAGATCGGGCACTTCAGAAGGGCTTTTTGGGGCTTTTATCAAATTGCTGATTCAATCATCTATTAGATAGAAGCACCAAAAAGCCCTCCTGAAGCACGTGATCTATACAGATTCTGGGTGAGCTGGGTCAAACTAACATGATGTCTCTTCTGGGCATGCACCACGCTCAGCACAGGGGTGTACCAAGCTTAAAGTAAAGTTCTAGAGTTTTATTTCATGTCTGTAAGCAGCCTAAATTAGTAGAAACACTGGATTAACTATGGGTGTTAAAACTATGGGTTTTGTTTTCAAATCTTTGTTGGATTAACCTTGGCCTATAGTCAATTTGCCTACAATTGCCTGTGGATTCCACTCCAGTGGGAGGGTGCCTAAAAAGTGAGGTTTTGCAATACAGGGTATTACAACATCTAAGATCATTTGTTGATTTAGCACAAAGTGTTTTTCCCTGCTTGACTGTGTGGACAGGGGAGAAAGTCTATGGACCAGAGAACAGAAATGGCATTTTGGCTGAGAAGCGACAGTTAGATGTGATATTGGACACCTAAGCTGGTGCATACCCTGACCCTCCTGATGAAGGTGGTTCAGAAGTTATGGCCATTTCAAAATACAACCATTTTGTGTGCAATGATCATTTTCTGGACCACATGACCTCTCTATAAAGTTGTAAACGATAGATGCGTTTGACAGTGCTGCCATCAGTATTCCCTACTGTTGTGTAGTTTCCAATTAATTGCACACAAAATGGTTTTATTTTGAAATTACCATTACTTTCCTCATATAAGGAAGCTCCCAGAAGTGCTTCCCTTAAAGTCCTTCCACATATAGGGTGCACCTACACGTCACCTTATGGCAACATTCCTATGGTGTCATACTTTTGTACTTCCTTTGGAAGTACAAAAGCATAGTGCAGTACGGCCAGTTACTGCATTGTGTGTGCGGCACATGATTAGATTTTGCCACTATGTTGCTGTAGCAGTGCGCTATATGGGGTGGGGGGCAGCGCGTTGCTACAATGATGTACCTGGCGGTCATGTGTAGACCAGCGTGATTGCTACACTGCTGTAGCATGCCGCACGGGAATATAGCACATCACTATGTCACTGCAGGGTGACGTGTAGATGCACTCGAAGAGTAGCTTTTTAGGTCCATCTTCTGAAGCTGACTAATATTAGCAAGATTTAACCTATGTCAACTTCTTTGCCTGAACAACTGATGGAAGGTGCTTTTACGTGTAGGACTGAAGAAAATCTGGAGGCTAGGCTCCAGCATTTTCAATAATAGATTTGAAGCAGATGACAGATATAAAGCTGGGAAGGTGGTGAGTCATGTTGAGCTGCTGACACAATGCCCATACTTAAGGCTGCTTAACTGTGAGGCCCATAGCCTGTTACAATTAAGATGTGATTAATCTGTCAATCGCGCCATAAATGGTAACCCTGCCACATATTCAAGGAATTAATGGCACTACAAAACAGGAAACCAGATACAAAAGTATTTCACAAAAAAAGGAATAACACTTTTGTGGCTAGTTTCCATCATATCTTAAAATGAACATGTGGGAGGGTAACCAGAGTTGGCTCAAGACTCCAGTGCATTCCTGGGTTGGGACATACAATCAGCTGTTGAGTCCAGCCCTGGGACTGCGGGGGAGTCTGGAACTGGTTCTGGTGTGACTGACAATCAGATGGTTCAGTGCCAGGACCAATGGGAGTCTTGAACCAGCTCCAGTGCAAGCCCAGGGCTGGGGACAAAAGCCCTGGGACCTCACCAGAATCTAGAACTGGGTTCTGGAACCAGCTCTGGCATGGTCAAGGGCCTCAGACCAAAATTAGCTGATTATTGGTCCCAGCCCTGTGACTGCACTGGAGTCTTGAACTGGCCCCAGTATGGTCCTAGAGTTGGGACTAACAATTAGCTCATTGTTGGTTCCAGCCTTGGGACTGCATGGGAGTCTCAAACAGCCCCAGTGCAGTCCTGGGGCTGGGACTGACAATCAGTTGATTGGGACTGCTTGGGTTCAGCTGAGCTGTGGGCACCTGGCTTTCATATTGCTTGTACAGGGGGAGTCCAGGCTTCTGAGTTCTCCCTACACTGGCAAGTAGTAATGGAACCATTTGGATCTGATCTGCACATTGCACATCCTGCCATGCATGTGTGGAATGGCAGGCGGCGCAATCACTGGGATTGGAGAACAGATCGCATAACACCACTAAATGAACGTGTGCCAGGGGCCTACAAGAGCAACACGCAGCTACTTTGGAGGATAAGATCACCCTCTAAAGCTGCATATGGTTGCCAACAGACAGAACTGTTAGGTCAGGGGCACAGACAAGCCTGCAGTAATTTGTAATGGGGCCATTAAAGGAACAATAAAACGTGGAATAATCCTCTGACAAACTCTACGGATTGACTATAGTTAGATCATTTTCCACAACATACCTTATATACATATAATATAATTTATTAGAAAATCTGGAAAACCAGGAAATTGGAAGATTAGTTTATACATAATCTTAATCTGAGTAACAAAATAATGTCTTTTGCATTTCATTTTAATTAAAGATACAATGAATTAAGTAACAGATTAATTAAAAGGTGAGGTATATGCATTCTTTTAAAATACAATATTTTACAATAAAGTGCATAGTTAAGGTTTGAAATGTAAACTACTTAGCTTACATTAATTGAGTCAATGTTTAAACGTATGTTTTCTTGATTTTGTAGCGTGAAGAATGTGTACATGTAAGGCCACATTAAATGTAAATCCAGTGAAGCAGTTTTTGTTAGACCATGTCAGTATCTTCTTTGCAATAGTAATCGAGGGTCAGCTGACATACTCTGATGCCTCTGTGTAGATAATGTAGTATCCACAGAAGGGGAGGATGCACCATGCTGAATGTTCCATAATAAATCAGAAGACAACAATATTATATATAACATTTTATATTTAATAGTAAATAATGCAAATTCAAAGAAACATCATTTGATAATTCTAAGCAATCATCTTTCTTCAGCTATGTAAAACACTGTGAGACTGTATTGATGGAGGACTTGAGCCTTCAAGGTACCAAGAGCCAAGGGCATCCTCTTTCCTAGAAGAGTGCCTTCCTCACTGGGATACAGAGATAGCTTCCTTTCGCTTGCTTTCCTTCTGTCCTCATGATTCTTTACTACCCTGTGGCTTTGTTTCAAGAGGAGGGTGGGAATGCCTTCAGCCTTGCTTAGACTGTAGCCTGGTTCAAGGGCAATTTCATGGGAAGTGGGAGATATAGTTTCAAATCCACTTCAGCTGCAGAGAGGCTAGAATCCAAATCTCCCTCTTACTGGTCAAAAGCCTGACTTCCTGGGCCAGGGATCAGAGATTTACAGTCTGGGGACTGGCTCCAGCCTGCAGAGCCATTTTATCCAGCCCCCAGAGCTGGGGGCCTTTTGTGGTGTTTCTGCAGTGAGGGCTTTGCCTGGATGATAGGGAAAAGTAGTGGCCATGGTGGCAGAGGCGTGAGGTGACTGTGGCTCTGGCTCCAGCAGCAGTGGTGAAGGCTGGATTAGAAGTAGCTCAGGCTTGCAACTAAGCTCTGTTAAAGCAGTCCCCAGCTGTAAAACATTGCTGACCCCTGCCCTAGGCTATCTGCAGACCTAGAAAAAGATTTCATTGTAGCACTGATTACCCTTGGGACCATAACAAACTGTTTTTCCCCCTACATTATTAGGGCAAAACAATTAACTGGGGCCATATCTAGCTCAAATGAGGTGGCACAGTAATCACTCCTTGGAAGTTCTTTGGGTTTCTCAGGCTGCGGGCAAGTGGCAACTGTTCCAGATTCCGATAGGGAAATTAAACAAAAAGGGAAAGACAGTCTGGTAAAAACTGGCACAGCTCTGTTGAAAAGCCCAACAGTTCACTGATTTGCTCCATCACAGTCAGAGCGCTATCTGAGATTTTGGCATCCCAATAAAATCTAAAACAAACAGATGTCAACATTATCTATTACATGTTTACTGTAAAATCAGCCATAAGTTCAAAGTGCAAAAATTACACTGAAATGGAATGCTTACCAAAGGGGAAATTATCTGAAAACCCCTTGAAGTGGATGGGTTTTTGGTAATGGATTCCCGGATATCTAAAAATAGTATGAAATTATGACACAACAATTATTTAAAATACATGCTAGAACAGAAACATGACTCATGGTCAAGTATTCAGTACCAACCATCCTGAAGATTGTGGAAAATACAGTTTAACAGCAATATTTTTTTCCTTGAGGAATAGTGAAACATTTGCCTGATCCACATTTTAAAACCGGGAATTACTATTTGATCAAGAATAAGCTTTCTAAAAATAAATCCATCCCAAAATGAAAAGGCCAGCTACTCGGGGATGGAATAACAACAGAGATAACCAGTTTAGAATGGATGAGACAGTTAAATACCATCACCACAAAGACACAGTTTAGTAGCTTTATATAAAATAAATGGAAAATGAATTAAGGTGGTGAAGTTTTAACAGAATTTGGCACTTCTGTCAAGAATATTTGTTGTCATCTACACCTGGCTAGAAAGTTGTTATATTTTAAACATGGACTTAAAAAAAGTAAACCTTGTTTTTGTCATGTCCAGAAAGAAATACTGCATCCTTTATATTTTACATAGGGTAATATCATTTGGAGCTAAGAACACTTGGAAACACCAATTGGAGAAGGATACTCCTAGCTTAAGTTCAAAGTGGCTGGACTCTGGATGTAAACTGCATGAAAAGAATTCCTTTCATAGAGGAGAAATTCTTCCCAATATAAAACTAACAGAATCACCTCCTAGATCAGCCATCCTGCCTTTCTCCTACTGTACCAGACATCTTCCCTTTCTCCTACTGAGGGACATAAAACAGGTGAGGGAAGGGGTATGTTAGAGGCACTAATTGGGGAGCCCCAGAACAGACTCCCTGATGATTGCTGAGTAGAGCTTAGGTAAAAGGGGAACCAAAGCCACAATGCTTGATAACTATAGAACAGAATCTACCAAAGTTAAGAAGTACAGTACATAAGGTAAGAAGCTAGTACACTACTTAACTTTGCTATGTCCAACCCTGGAGCTAAATTAGCTAAGAAAAGAAAGGGAAGCAAACTTCTAAAATGCACACTAGCAAAAATCTTGTTGGTCTAATGAAAGATATCATCTCTACTACAAGTCCTGATGGCTTTTTCCTCTAGACCAATACGGCTACAACCTGGATACCTGACACTAGCCATATGGTATTTATATTATGACTTCAGGATTTTTAATCATGTGGTTTGCAATCTTTATACTGTTCTATTTTTTCAGTGTCCCTTTTATATTCTCTGTTGCATTGTACTTCTCACTTCCCTGTCTTCTTCAGTTTCTTCTTTTGATTCTCTTTTTATTTTTTAATTTCAACCTTTTTTCAAATTCCACTATCTTCTGTCTCTTTATTGATCTTCCCTTTGCCTTTACATTTCTCCCCTGCTCCTCTAAAATGTATGCCTCAATTTTTGCTTCAATATATTTCTTGTTTAGTAACAGCCAATCTGAGCCTCTTTTAAAAATTGTATTGATATGTCACACATCCTACTGTAGGTGGTGGGACCAGAGAATATATGCAAGTATAATGGCATACAAAATTCAGGAATAAACACTGACTTCTTATCTAACTTTTAATCATACAAAACTCCTTTTGTTTTGAATGAATGTTGCTCAATTAAATCATAAATAAGGATTTGGGGGCCTGGACCACTGTTTATTAATATCTAGCAAGTGGCAAAAGGCGACATGAGGGAACCAATGGGATATTATGTTTTCCTACTTATATATGTCATGTTTGTATATGTGTGTATGTATACATGTATGTATATATGTACTTCAAACCAAATTATGGCATTACATAGAATGTAGGTTGTTGCTATATCTTAACGCATAAAACTATATACCGTACTCACTCTGCAGCCTCTGATTGAGGTGATCAAGTGACTGAAGAATTTTGTGTTCTTCCATTGACAATGCTGTCATGCCGAGTCTTTGGGGCTTGTTGAGCAACAATGGCTGTCTGCATGGTTGTGTTGTTTCCAGAGCAGACAGCATTTCACCCTCTGTAACTGATATACTTGCTAGTTTTTCTGCTAGCAGAAACTGAGCAGTACTTTCTGAAACTGAATATGACAGAGCTAGTCACAATCAGAACGTTTATTACAATATTCAAATAAAAACGATTTATAATATCTAACCTTACTGTTCATTTTCATGAACATATATGTATATAACACACAAAGAACACCTTGAAAGAATGTTAAGGTTGCACAGTTCTTTTGTTTTGTTTTTTTTTAGGATTTTTTTTGTGTTCCAAGTCAAATCAGCCAAATCAATTCCAAAGTCGTGAGTCATTCAAGAACCAAATGTGGCGTTAGTACTGGCACCCCTGCCTGGGGCTTCAGATGCTTCCAAATCCTTTGGCAGGCATCCTACATGTAGGCCCAAGCCCAAAAGCTGGGGGTTTGGATGCCCCTAAGTTTGGCTTGCACTCAGCAATATGGCAGCAGGAGCAAGGTAGGGAGGAGTTTCCCATTTCCATAAAGTCATCATGTAGCCGATATCCTCCTTCTGGAAGCTGGCCAGCGGGAAGCTAACTATGAGACTCTCATAGGGAGTCCTGTCTGCAAGCAGACAAGGACGAAACCCTCCACTACACAGTGCCATTTTAATTGCATTACCTCGGTCAGGGTATTTCCCCTGCCACCATTGTGGTCATGGTATTTCCCTTGCCAGGCACAGTTTAGCATTCAGAAGCTGCTATATTTAAAGATGCCTGTACCCTACAATAGGGTTATAGGAAGGTTGCTAGCCCAGAAGCCAGCTCAACAACCACAATGTGGTGACATAATGGGCACATCTGCATGTGCACAGTTACTGTGCAGTAACTTAGGTTAACCAAAAGTTACTGTGCAGTACAGACACGTGTTTACACGTGCGGACCTCTACTGCATAGTAACTATTGTGACTTATGCTGACTTGGGCATAAATTTGCTACCTGGATGATGCAGGTTGCTACCTGCCTGATGCAGGTAGCAACTTTATGCCTGCTTAGTTACTGCACAGTGAGGCATGTGTAGATGCCTTACTGTGCAGTAACACCGTGTGTGTGCACTGACTTGGGAGTAACTTTACTCCTAAGTTGGTGTACACACAGCGTTACTGAGCTGCAACACCTACATGTGTAGATGCCGGTCTGAAAACCACTTACTGCATAGTAAATACACGTGTACACATGCCCACTGTGTTCTTGAATGCATCACATACTGAAAAGGCACAACACTAAAGTATTAGAGATTTAATTCAATTTCATGATGCTCTTGTAAAGACAACAATCAGTTGTAAGTGTTATGATATGCTGTATATTACTCTTCTGCAGAAAACACTTTATTTCAAGCCAAGATAATATAGTTTTTTATTTAGAATCATTAATGATACAGGATGATAAATGATGTATAATTTAACTATCTTTTTCTAATAAGAATTTAACTGAAGCATACTACTATACCTTCATCAGAATTAGGGATGCCACTCACTGCTTGCACTGGCTCAAATGGATATTGAAAAGGACTTAGCTGGACTGTATGTACTGAATTCTGTAAAAAAGAATTATTTAATCAGCACAGTATTTAAAATAATTTTAATACTTCTGTAACTTTTAATGTTTTCTTTAAGTAAGATATTTTATATTTACAAGAGTATACAAGTTGTATGATTTTGAGTTAAAAAATTTACTGTACGTATTTTGAAATATATTAGGGGTTAATAGAGTTTTTCAAAGGCCTAACACTGTTATATACCTATGGCTGGTAAGCAACTGCCTGCATTGGAGGAGTGTGGAGAACCATTACCGTAGCAAGAGAGCCTAGGTTTTTTGTGTTTAGATTCGTTTTAACTCTTTCAGCAGTGATTACAGAAATCTGAGAAGCAACACGGTGGGTTTCAAATTCCTTGAAAAACAAAAGAATTTTGATGTTTCTTTTAACTCTTCCCAGATCTGGGTTAAATAACTTTGGTCAGTGGTGCCTCACATTACATGAAAACTTCCCCTTACCTATAATCACATTTACTGGATATCTTTTATTTCCACTGTTGCTACTTTGTCAATGGCACCATCAGGGAAACTACCTGTAAGGAGCCTGTGTACAACCTTAGCTCCACCAAACAGGAGCAGGAATAAGTCAGGTATAGGCCTTAGAATGGTCTTCCCAGGGCTGATTTTTATGCTGAATGAATACAGTCTTAGATACACTTGATCTGAGCCTTCAAGAGGCCGAAATAAAAGTATTCATCTGAAACTTATTTAAACAGCTTCCTGAATGCTGTAATGACACTACATTACAAATAAGAAACTGCTGTCACTTTGCCAGAAAATTAAAAAAGAACAAAACCCCAAAACCATGGCCATATCTACATGAGATGCTGAATGTGCTGTAGCCTGAGAATACCACATAGTAGCGTTGCGTGACAGCAACAGTGATGCAATGCAATTGCGCAGTAGTCTTGGGCTATTGAGCAGTCAGCGTCACAAAAAAGCTGTTCATTGAAGCTGCTGTGCAGGAACTTGGACTATTGTGCAGTCAGTCTTGTGTAGACATGACCTGTGTTGATTATTATCGATATTATTTGGTATGTCTGTACCCTTCCTGACTGTACACTCTGTAAATTCTTTGATGATTAATTATTTATATTAACACCAAATTTTTTACACCAAAACAAGGAGACCAGCTTCTATTAGACACTTTATTTAAAAGCTCTAATTGAACATCTGACCATATACATATACATTATTCTATGACTATAACTCTAATGTTGTTAACTTTTAAATCAATTACATGTATCCTTGTGCCAATAACAACATTTATGATGTAAGACATACTAGATTACATTAAACTAAATCAAACTACACTGTGAGGTCACTACCACTAAATTGTAAGAGCTACAGTAATATTTAATTTGCTAAGTTTAACTTGATACCTTAGACACACAGTTTTGAAAACAAAAAGTTGTTCTCCAAAAGAAATATTTATGTTTGGAATAAATGAAAACCGCTATATGCTTTCTACAAAGATATAAAGTAACATCTAGTTTATGTTGTTTTGGTGATGGGTTGATAGCAGCCAAACTTACACAAAAATATTACATCTGTTATAAGGATAAATAAAACAGTTAAAAGCTAAAAGTAAGTAAAATAAATTGCAGATGTTTAGAGAAATTATTGTAGTGCTTGCAGAAACTTTGGGCTTTCACAATTGTCAGTGGACTTTCCTCCATATTTTTCCAAACATTTGTTATTTTTCACTGCTGATGTAATCTAATCTGAAAATTAGTAGCTTTTCCTTGAAAATACAAGGCCTTCTTTTAAATTAATTATAAGAGGTAAATAATAATAACCAGAAAGTAACTAAATTTAGTACATTTTATGTTTGCTAGTATATAATAATAATAATAATAATAATTTTCCACTTTCCTCCACTTTCCCCTGCTTCACCCTCCACCCCCCAGTTGCTAACAGCTGGTGGGGGACAGGGCTGGGGGAAAAGCCATGCTAGGTCAATCAGCTGCTGGCCCAGCATAGCTTTCCTTAGGCCTGCCCTCTGCCAGCTGTTAGTGGCCAGAGTGGGGGGGAAGGGGGAAGTGGAGGTACCCCGTCAGGTCCCCACCCCGCCCCGCTCCAAGACCCAACCAGAACAGCCAGGAGGACATGTGGCATGGGCTTCCTCTCTCTCCCCCATGGGGGAGAGAGGGGAAGCCCCCATCGCATGCTCCCCCAACTGTTCTGGCTGGGTTTGGGGGGGCCAGGTCCATGCTGGCAGCCTGCAGCTGGAGGGAGGCAGGGATGGGGAGAGATTCTATGTTGGATCCCCATTTCCCTGGGGCTGACAGCAAGGGGTTGGAGCCATGTGTCCAGCAGCCAGTTTGGTGTGTCCTGCCCATCGGCTGCATTTGGCTGTCCTCTGCCATCTCCAGCATGCTGGGAGGCATGTGAGTGTGCCTCCAGCCTGATGGCCAATGCAGGCATCAGCGTGCCCCGACCACACCGAAGGAAGAATATGCCTTCTGTTCATACTGATCCACTGTACACAGTTTAGAGAAACCTGCAAAGGTTTGATCGATTCCCCTTCAGGCTTTTTGAATGTCTGTACCTAGCTTTATGTTCAGTTAATAAATGGTATGACTAGTCTCTGGCTGAAGAGTACCAGAGGCCAGACTACACCTTCTAGACACCCAAGTAGATTTAGGCACCTTATACTATTCCATCCTGTTTAAATCCCTGAACATCTCTTTATCCATCTATTTTTGTAATATGCTGTCATCTTAGCATTAAAACTAAGTAACAGAACAGCACCAAGGAGGAAGACTCACACATCTTTTGTAGTGACAGTTTTATAAAGGACTTAAGAAACATAGATTAGTAAGAGAAGTATGGCCCCAAGTTTGTTAGCTGGCCCTAATTACATTAGCTAAGGCATGGGTACACAAAAAAGTTACACAAGGGGTGCGTCTACATGAGACGCTTACTGTGTATTTGCCTAATAACACTGAGCAGTAGCATGGCAGTTAAAACCCATGTTAATGCCTACTGTGCAGTGTTATTAGGCTAATGCGTAGTAAGCATTATAAAAAAAACATGCACTGGTGCTACTCCACAGTAACTCTAGTTACTGCACACTTAGTTAGTATTTTATTATGCAAGTACTAAACTAAATGTGCAGTAGACGCACCCAAGATGCAGGAAAGCAAGCAGAATGCAAAACCAGAATAAAGCAGGACAATAATAGAACCCAAGCAATTACCTCACATACTTGTGAGCAATTGTCCCATGCACTGTTGTCCATTAAACAAAAGGTGCCTAAAATAATTTGGTTAGTCACAGAATCAAATTCCTGCTTTAGAAATAAACAATTTGACTCCAATTTTTATTTTCCATTATTTCTCTAGGAAGTTCATAGCAATAGGAGATTGATGTCTCATAACAGCTGGATTTGACTGACATTTTTACCTCAATATCCTGGTAACTGATATATATACCTGTGTAGGATGAGTGGATCTCCATATTGTAGTTGCTATAGCTTGCCGTCTTTGTTCTAAAAGACCTCTACGTTTATTTTCAGCATTATCAAAGTTTTGTTTGCGTCTAGTGGTAGGAACGGCACCTAAAATGAGGAACAGAAAAAAGCAACCAGTTATGTAAAGACATGCTAGACTATTGGTGCTTTGATATTATAGTGCGGTATGGCTAATGAATAGATAACAAACTTTGAATTACTTTTGTGATATTATGTCTGATGTACCAGAAAGTTATAGCTAGTAAAGTAGGATTCTTACCATTTATTGAAGAAAGAAATCCATTCATTCTAGAAACTGACTTTAAATTGGTCATGAGACTGCCACCATCAATCGTAAAAAGAGATATACCAGAGTTAGTAGGTTGTAAGTTAAAAGAAAAGGAATTATTGTAGCGTGCGCCATAATGCCGGAAATCACCTGAAAAGAAAGTGAATGTAATGAATCTATATTTAATATATATGTATATGAAGAACTTTAAAAATTTAAAAATATGATGAAATATGAATCCAGGAAAAGATAAAAAATCAATGATAGCTTGAAATGAGCTCTTTGGTGCCTCAAAATTAATTTGACTAGTAAGTAAGACATGATGTGTCAGGTCTATCAAAAACTCATAGGATAAAGTTTCTGCCAGACTATTAGGAAAGATTATTAGAGAATTTTGGCCTTGATTCTTAAACTTTCTCCCTGATTCATCAAAACATTTCAGCAAGCATTTCACGTTGAGCATGAAATATCAGTGGAAATAATTCAAAGATTCAGAGTTGAGTATATATCTGAGTGATTTACTGAAAGGATCAGAGTTTTTAATAACCTGTAGGTTCAAACCTTTACAGCAATGATTCTCAACCAGGGTGCTGTGGCACCTGTGGTGCCTTAAGATACTTTCAAGAATAATGAAAGGTGCCATGTAATGTTAGTATTGTTAGGTGTGCAAACATGATTCACAAGATAAATGCAGAGATTTTAAATACAAATCTACAGTGTTAAAAACATACTGACTGGTGTGTTCTTCACCACAGAAGAATTTATCTTATTATTTTTTGGTACTCACAAATGAGTGAAAGCTAAGAGCTGGAATTTTCTGAGGACTGCTTTGAGTCTAATGATGCGTGCTTGAGTCTAAAACTTTTGAGAACCACTGCCTTACAGAAACGTATGATTTGGTTAGAAAACACAGAACTTGAAACCTAAACCTTATTTAAAATATGGATAGAAGGACCTTTATATCTGATCATTTTATTCAGTAAAATAAACTTTTTGCTCCTTTACTGTTCTCTTTATTTTGTTGTTTTATAATGTATATTCAGTTGTATGTTGTAACAGATTGTATTTTTACCTTCTAAGTCACTTACAAACACTACTGAACATCAGGGCATTGCTGCAACAGTACAGGTCACCGAACAATTACTGTACTTACTCTTATACCACATGTACTTTTCCCCACAAAATCAGCCCTTCAAAATTGGCATGTGTGTCTTAAGTGGGGAAGTTGATTTTTCTTTACTGGAACAGAACAGGGAATACAGAAGAAAAGAAGCAAGCAGACACAGTGCTAAAATAGCGGTGAAAATGCCTGTCACTTGTTGCAAGCAGCAGGGGTAGAGTCTAGTGTTAATCTTCTCAGAGCTGCTGGTGAGGCAGTAGCTTAGGGCTGAAAAGCCACTGATCTGGCTGAGGGTGAATGAGCTGCTGCATTCAGTCTGTAGTATCTTGATGAAGCTTGTGATGTGCAGACAACACTTCATTATTTACAGGAGCTTATATAAAAAAACTAGTAGCAGTAAAAAAAAGCCTCTTGCTGCTGGCCCTGGAAGGGTCTGGGGTCTAGCCTTGCTGCAGTATTGCCACACCAGAAAGTTGCTGCCCTGCCTCATCCAGACTTTCCTGGGATACCACACTTCTGGGCAGCCTTTATTACCAGGAGGACTTCCTTTATGTCACGTAGGTGGCCATTGCTCTGGAACAATCTTTTCTTTTACATTCTACCTTCCAAAAACTGTGTGTGTGTCTTATTTGGGGGTACGTGGTATGTGAGAAAATACAGCATGAGTGCAGGGCTTTAAACACACATTATTTTTGTAATGCTAAAAGTTTGACCACACATTAAAATTGCTGAAGAAAAGCTTCCTGCACAAAGAAGCTGCTGTTTGTTTGTTGTGGACTTACAATTTTTATGGTAGATCAGCAATTTTTTTAGTGTGACAGAGAGCATGGGGACAATTGCTTTTTGTTGTGCTGAAGCAGCTGATACAACACAACAAAAGTAATGTGTGTCTAAGTCCCAGGATTCACTCTGTCTTGGAAGGCACTGTGGGGCAAGGTCACTGTCTTTCTGTAAGACTGTACAATGTTTAGAAAATTCTGGGGGCTACTATAATACATATGATAAGCCATATAGGAAAAAGTTGGATGTTTAAAATAAATGGTCTGACATAACAGATACAAAAGTTTTTAAAGAACAGAAATTGAAAAAAGGCTAGTGCTAACTTTCAGCAGAAAAGCAATGTCTTTATCCAGTACAATCTCACCTCCACTGGAGTACTGGAGCAAAATATTGGCAAATGATATGCAAAATGTGTCTTATAAATTGCATTTCTTATTTGGATTAAGTCACAGAAAGGTTGGCTACAGGGGAGGACCTGGCAGGGGACCTGGCAGGGGAGCTGCAGATTCACAGTCACCTTGGGGACAGTGACCACCAATCAATCGCATTTACCATATGGTGTAGGGTGGGTAAGATAACTAGTAGGGTGGAAGTGTTTGACTTTAGGAAGGCTAACTTCAGTGTGCTTAGGAGTCTAGTCAATGATAAACTGCAGGAGAGTAGTATTGGCGAGATGGAAGTCCAGGAAGGGTGGTCGTTCCTAAAGGAAGTGATCCTTTGGGCACAGAGAAGGACTATCCCAGTACAAAGGAAAAGGGGGAAAGAAGCCAAAAAAACTTCCTTGGCTAAACCGAGAAATCCAGGGGAGCCCAAGGGCAAAAAAGAAGGTATATAGGCGGTGGAAGCTACCAAGGAATAGTGTACCTACTTGGCTCGCACTTGCAGAGAGGCAGTTAGAAAGAACAAAGCAACTACAGAGCTGAGGCTGGCAACACAAATTAAAGACAATAAAAAGTCTTTTTTTTTTTAGGTATGTAGGGAGTAAAGGGAAGACACAAGGCAGCATAGGACCCCAACTGAACAAGGAGTAATTAGTGACAGACAGGGGGGACAAGGCTGAGTTATTCAATGAGTTTTTTTGCCTCAGTGTTCCTGAACAGGGAAGTCAAGATAAGTCTCCTAATGGGGTTCTTAGATGGACATCAGAGGGACACCAGCCCACCAACTGCTGATGATGACTTGGTGCAGAGTCACTTGTATGGACTGGATGTGTTCAAGTCAGCAGGCCCGGATGAGCTGCATCTGAGGGTACTGAAGGAATTTGCCGGTGTCATAGCAGAACCACTGGCACGGCTGTTTGAGTGCTTGTGGCACTCAGGTCAGATCCCAGAGGACTGGAAAAGGGCCAATGTGGTCTCTACTTTCAAGAAGGGGAAGAAGGAGGATCTGAGTAATTATTGGCCAGTCAGTCTCACCTCCATCCTTGGAAAGGTCTTTGAAAAGATTATGAAGGATCATATTTGTGGGAGTCCAGCAGGAAAAATAATGCAGTAGGGAAACCAGCATGGATTTGTAGCAGGTAGATCATGCCTGACCAATCTGGTTTCGTTTTATGACAGGGTAACAAAATGCTTAGATGCAGGAGTAGAGGTGGATGTCATTTTTTTTGGACTTCAGCAAGGCCTTTGATACAGTATCACATCCTATTCTCAAAAATAAATTAAGAGGCTGTGACAGATATTTACACAGTCCAGTGGGTAGCAAATTGGCTTAGCAGTCGCACCCAGAGAATGGTAGTAGATGGGTTGGTATTGACCTGGAAGAATGTGGGTAGCGGAGTCCCACAGGGTTTGGTCCTTGGATCAGTACTCTTCAATATCTTCATCAGTGACTTGGATGTGGATGTGAAGTATACTCTGTCCAAGTTTATGGACAATACTAAATTGTGGGGTGAAGTGCACACTCCAGAAGGTAGGGAACGATTGGAGGCAGACCTGGACAGGTTAGAAAAGTGGGCAGTACACAATAGAATGCAGTACAACAAGGACAAGTGCAGAGTGCTGCACCTAGGGCACAAAAATATCCAGCACACCTATTGGCTGGGAAGTGATCCTCTCAGCAGCACAGAAGCAGAAAGGGTTCTTGGAGTCATAGTGGACTCCAAGATGAACATGAGTCGTTAGTGTGCCAAAATCATCAGCAAAGCTAACTGCACTTTATCATGCATCAGCAGATGCATGACAAATAGATCCAAGGAGGTGATACTTCCCCTTTATGCGGCATTGGTCAGACTGCAGTTGGAGTACTGCATCCAGTTTTGGGCACTGCAGTTCAAGAAGGATGTTGATAGATTCTGGAGGGTCCAGAGGAGGGCCACTCGTATGGTTAGGGGCTTACAGGACAAGCCCTATGAGGAGAGACTGAGGGACCTGGACCTCTTCAGCCTCCTCAAGAGAAGGCTGAGAGGTGATCTTGTGGCTGTCTACAAATTTGTTAGGGGGACAAGGCAAGGGATTGGAGATGCTCTGGTCACCAGGGGGCCTCTTGGAGTAACAAGGAACAATGGTCACAAACTGACAGAGAACAGATTTAGGCTAGATATCAGGAAAAACTTCTTCACGGTAAGGGTAGCCAAAATTTGGAATGGGCTTCCAAGGGAGGTGGTGCTCTCCCCTACCTTGGGGGTCCTTAAGAGAAGGCTGGATAGGCATCTGGCTGGGGTCATCTGATCCCATAACTCTTTCTTGCCTACGCAGGGCATTGCACTCGATGATCTGTTGACGTCCCTTCTGACCCTAGCATCTATGAATCTATGAAATTCTACATAAGAAGTGGACTGGTCTTATCTCCTGTGTCAAGCATATGGTATTTCTGTTTGCGCAGCCTCAAACTACATTTGCTTCCCTTGTGACAGCATCATAATGCTGACTCATACTGAATTTACGATCCACCAGGACCTGCCAGGCCCTACCACAGCCTCAGAAGTTACCCTGGTCTGCACAGCTGGGTCCGACCGGGCAAGGGAACAGTGACGCTTGGACCTGGCTCTCCTCCTCACTGGGAGCAGGCCAACTGGGTCCCAGAGGGGAGGGAACTGTGTTGCTTGGGCCCAACTCCACTCCCTGCCAGGACCAGAGCTAGCTAGGTCTGAGTGGAGGAGGGAACTGTGTTGCTCAGACCTGGCGGGCTGGGCAGAGCTTCTCTTCCCCATTCAGAGCTGGCTGGCTCTGCTCATGGAGGGGACAGAGCTGGGAGCAGAGCCAGTGAGAGTGGTGGTAGGAGGCACCATGGCTGGTAGGAGGCACCAGGATCTGGTGTCTGTAGCACTCACTCTGCCCTGAGGGAGCAGGGAGCCTGTCCTTTCCCTAGCTTCTTCCCTAGCACTAGACACCCCTGCTCACAAAGCCTCTAGTGGGAAGTCACAGCTGTGCAGGCGAGGGGCAATCAGAGCAGTTTTTTTTCCTTAATGTGTAACTGCTTGCTGGTCCCAGGGGTGGCTATGACAACCCCTCCTGGCCGGTCAGCTCCTGCGCTGCCCTCTCTTTCCTGGCTTGTTCTCCTTCACCTCGCCCATCACACCTTGTTATTATTAGATCCTTGGAAAGGGAAGCTGCCCCATGGATCCATGATCCCATGCTGCTGTTCAGGTGTCACTGCTCTGGTGCCTTATTATTATGTGACTCCAACTGCCCCTTACACCACACCCATACCTTGCAGATGTTACTCTATGTCCCATGTAGTAAGGGGCATCCCAGTGCCCCAGGTCCTCATGTCACATCTGTTAAATCCTTCACCTGGACACCCCGTCCCTCAGGCCTCTGTTTCTTTTACCATCCTTTGCTCCTTAACTATACTCAGCTCACCTGGGCACCACAGTTCCTCAGGCCTGCTTTGGACTCTCTGGCCCTGCTCCTCAGCCCTTGGTCCCAACCCCTGGGACTCTGGCCTCTAGCCCTGCTCCCAGGCCTCTGGTCCTGTTCCTGGGCTCTAGCTCTACTCCCAAGCCTCTAGCCCTGATCCTAGGCTGGTTGAGACCACCACCACCCCTTGTTTCAATCCCTAAACCACTGGACCCTACCTCAGCTCTAAGACTACCAACTCTTAGCCCCTGAGAATGCACTATCTCCCTGCCCGCTGCTTGCTCAGAAGCATCTTCTATGTCAGCAGCCAGGGCAAGACTGACTGGCCCAGGGCTTATCTCCTGGTTAAGCCTCAGCCCTTTCGGTCAGGAGCTCCCCTGGCTGCTGACTCAACTCCAGGGGCCTTCTCCCTTCCTTAAGTAACAGGCGTGCTCAGTGTCTGTTATACTGCTCTACTAAGATGAACAGCACTAAGCTGATAAACATTTGTTCAGCTTACAGCATAAAGTCTGACAAGCAGCGTTCCCTCTAAACTGTGTGGTGTGCGCAGCCACACAGGCGTGCTCATGCCACACTGCCAGGCACGCCTGTGCTGCCGCGTAAGCCATATAGCTTAGAAGGAACAATGCTGACAAGGCCCTAATATGGCTCTTGGTTGCCCTGAAAAGTTCCTCATAAATTTGCTTCAGTTTTGTAAAGGAATGTGTAGCAGAATAAAGATTGGCACTGATTTAAGTGAGCTTTTTTCTGCTCTAATGGAGGAAAACAAGATATTCTTGGGTTGATTCTGTTTCCTCTATTTCGAGTTTGTAGAAAAAGCAGCTGGCAGCATTCTAGCTGGCATCATATTAAAAATTCTGCACTTGTGGAACACTTCAGTTGTGCAAGGTTGTGAACAATATCGGAAGTCACCCTTCCACTGGTCTAGGCAGATAACTGTTTACTAGTTGTGAATGCTGAACAGGTCTTGGCTACTTTGCAGTGGCTGTAGATGACTGTTAAACTAACTGAGCCCAAAAACCAAAGTTATGTTACAACTAGCCCCTCGCAAGAGTTATGTGCTATCTGCACTGTATTTTGGTGTAGAACAACTCTGTGTGACCCATGAGTTGTGCTACTAGGGCAAGTGGCTGACAGGCTAAGGGATGAGGAAATAGTTTCCTACATCCTAAATGCAAAGCAGCCTTTGCCAGATTGCTTAAGTGGGTCTGCAGGGAACAAGGCATCAAAGTCTCTATGAAGGCAAAGGTTCGTAAGACTGTGGTTCTTAATATTTTGTTTTATGGATATAAAATCTAGACATTCCATGATGGTTTGCCCAAGTAATCAATGCTGAAATGCTGCAACCAACTGACTTACAGACTGATGCATTGATAATGAGGGTGCAACTCTGTTGGGGTGGTCAGGTTGCATGCATGGGTAACTAATACATGCGTAACCAGCCTTTATGTATGTTGCATATCAGCAAAACCCAGACAGCTGAAAAAACATTTTGTGGACCTACTTGATATACAATAGATAAAGTTAGAAGTCCAGTTCTTAAGAGATGAGAAAGCCTTTTCTTTTAACTGGAGGGCACCTGAGCAATATTTAGGATAGCCACAATATGTTAAGAGGCATGAAGTGGCTGTTTATACATAAAGGAGAGTTGTTGGAGTTATGAGCTCTGCCCCTGCGGAAAACTGAAAGCTGTATAACCAAAAAGCAGCTCAGCAAACAATACTCAGTCTATACAGAATCATAGAATCACAGAAAAATTAAGGTTGGAAGGGGCCTCAGGAGGTCATCTAGTCCAATCCCCTGCTCAAAGCAGGACCAGCCCCAACTAGATCATCCCAGCCATCTCATCCTATACAGGCTGAGGAAGAAGGGGACCCCAGGATTCTACTACTGCTGCATGGCACAGGACCGTATTTAACAGGGCAATGTTTTTATACAGAGGTGTAACAGGGAGCTGGGTAGCTGGGGTAGCGGTGACACGAGAGCAGTGACTTTGGCTGCTGGTGCCATTAGTGCGATCGCATGGCTGTGGTGACAGCTTTTATTTTTCCATCCCTGAACTGGTGCCCGGGGCTGGTGCCAAAGCTGTCCTGCCTTAGTTGCACTATTGTAAACTTAGCAATCTTAGCAATAGCAAAAGTGTACAGTACTATCACTTAAAAAATCCCAGAGGCCTGTGATTCTGTCATGTGATCCTGTTAAACATTTCCCAGAGGACAAAATCCTGCCAGTTGAAAGTAGCTAGCTTTGTCTTTAGCTTACCATTCAAAATATGGTCATTTTACTATTAACTTGTCCTCTGTGCCCCTTCTTCTCTCACAACGGCTTGGTTAGTCCACCTGTCATGCCTGGTCATTGGTCAAGAACATAAATATTTTGGGAAAGGGGATTTCCTTTAGCTTAATGCTTGGAGAGTACGTGGGACAGCGATCTCTGATTAAGATGTTTTTATAATACAAATAATAATAAGAAAAGTAGAAACTCTGGATGTTTGTCTGAACAGTTAAATAGTTCATGTTTTAATTTAAAAAAATGCTCACTATAACAACCCCACTATAATTTTTTAGACTTTCTGCATTGGAAAATACCAAGAATAATTCTTACCAGCAGCAAATTCTTTTTGAGCTAGGGCACTATGCACTCCTTCACACAGAAGATTTATTTCTTCGTCAGTTGGTGTTCGATCCAGCCGTGGTCCATTTTCCGCATAAACAGGTCTTTTTTTGGTGCAAGGTATACAGCAGTCTTGCTGGGCACTTGTCTGAATACTATCTACAGTATAAATAGTTTTTGCCAAAGGTTCATATGTAGATACACTGGTGGAAAGTGTGGATATTGTCATATGACCACATGCAGTACTCTTATTATTTTCTGTGATACTTTTATTGCAATTCTGATCTGCTGGCAAAATATGTTTTGCATTTAAATCATTATTTTTACTGATGGTTTGAGGTTTAGAAGAATTTACTGGTTGATACCCACTCCTAGTCTCTGCTACATTTTGTCCAGTTGTGCAGTCTAGTAAAAGTTTAGGTGGTGGATGAGGTATCATGATTTTACCCTGAGCTCTTATAACTTTGCTAGCTTCACTAGCAGACTGTGCTCGGATTATAGTGCCCTTCCTATTTTTGGGTATAAAACTTGTTTGGGCTCTGGCAGATATTGGTCTTCTGATTATTTTTGTCTTGCCTTTATGCAGGTTACCCCTTTGGATTTTAGAGTCATTACTATATAGAGGGTTACTTTTTTCACCTGGCGATGCCATCCATGCCTGTTTAGCAAAATGGTACCTTGTATATCCTAAAGAATTCAGAAGTGTACAGTCTCTCTCTGAGCCTCCAGCAGTAGCAGATTTTGTGTATATCAGAGTAGAATCCTGGTGATTTTCTGAGCAAACAGGACTTGCAGTGCAAGAAGCAATACTTAAATCAGTGTTAAGAGCATTGATTTTAGTTTGAACATGAGATGGTTGCAGCTGAGCCTGAGATACTTTACTGGGATTCCTTTCAGAACATTTTTCGTCACCTTCTACTACTATTTTGTGATTTTCATCAAACCATCGCAGTTTCTTATTGGTCTTTTGATCCTCTGCATTTTTCTCTTTTATTTTTACTAATTCCAAACTGTCTCTGATACAAGATATGGTTTGATTCCCAAAGCTGAACTTTGGTTTCATAACTACCGATTTAAAAAAATTATTTTCATATTTAGATTCCTTTTTTAAAATACTTTTGAGCAGTTTTACTCCATATCCCTCCCGAACATTCTTTCTCAGGTTTTTGTGTTGATTAGGCAAGTCAGAATTAAACCCTGCATCAGACAAATGTGGCATGGCTTTGGCTGTATTTCCATGTTCTTCTTTGTCGTCTTCTTGATCAATGTTGCATAAAATTGATGTATTAGATGCATCTTGAAATAAAGATGATCCTTGATTATTATCATTAAAATATTTAGTAGTTTCTTCTTTCTCTTCTATCAAGTTGTCCAGATTATCAGTACATGGACATGTGTTTGTATTTTTTTCCTTTTGTATGATATCAGCTGAGAAACTACTGTTGTGGCTACCAATGGAGTTCCATTGTTTCGGAGGTAAAATTACAGGTGTTGCCATAGGATGACTGGCCATTTGTACTAGTGTAGTTGTTTTAGGTTGGATTATTTCAGAACTCTGCCCTTGTACTAAATCCTGAATTCTTTCTTTTTGAGAAGAATCAGAGGTAGCCCATGCTTTGCTTGGTTTGAATACATGGTTGTCAGTGGTCACCAAGCTCTCTCTGCTAACCATTCCAAAAGATGAACTGTTTTTTTCTTTCTCTTTGTTTTCCCTAAAAGTACACAGATTTTTTACAGAGGTTACCTGCTTATCAGAAGCACATATTTCTGTCATTCTTTGTTCAGATTTGATAGGAACAGATGATTTCTGCTTTGGATTATGTCCATGTTCAGTGGGAATCAGGACATTATGTTTAGGTAAATCATCATGAAAAGATGTGTATATGTGGCCACTCTGCATATCTAACTTTCTGAGCCAATTATTTACATGTTGGTTTTTAGAAAGAGTCAGTTCAGCTGTCTCAGGAAAAGATTTATTTGTAGGTTCTGATTTCTGGGAATTGTAGGGTGTAGAGTCATACTGTTTAGTCAACGATGACAATTCACTTGGTGTCATATTACTTTCATTTTGTTCTCCAGCCTCAAGACTATCCAGGCTTGATAGGCTTTCAGAATTGGTTATTTGGTTGACTTCTTGATGAAAATTCTGAAACAAATAAGAAAAATTAGACCAGTTACATTCTTAATACACATTTTTTCATTATTTAGTATAGTTTTGTTCTTTTCAATTAGTTAGATCACAGATTAAAAATCAGATAGAGTAAATCACTTGCTGAAGAGTCCCGAAGAAAGATATTTTCTGTCTTGTGGTTAAAATAACCTTACACAATACATCTAAAATTTTCTTAGTCAACTGATACTTACTTAAAAGCAATATCAATTCTAATCCTCTCTGGTTTTAAAAAATCTGCTGACTCAGCTAACTGAAGTATAAACAAGGTACCATAATAAAAGTAAAACACAGCTAGCAACTTTAATTTTACCGTACAATATTTGTAAGATACCTTTGTACTAGGGGTGTGCAAAATGGGCCATATTCAATTTGGATTCAGTCTGAATTGGGGACAGTGATTCAATTCATTGATTCGGATCGCTGTCCCGATTCGATTCGGCCAAATCTGAATCTGAAGATTTGATGCTGATTCAGAGAATCACCGATTCAGCCATAAACACAGCTGTAAATTTTTTTCTACGTACTTCAAGGTACTCCCCCCCGGCCCCACAACGCTCTCCCAGCTCAGTGATTGGCCATGAGGGGACCCCAGGTGCTCCACCAGACCCAGGAGGCACCAGTTGCCCACATGCTCCCCAGCAGACCCGGAAGTGGACTGGAAGTGCTTCTGGGCCACTTCCAGGTCCACTGTTGAGCATGCTGGGACACCTCCGCGCTCCCATGGCACTCTCCATCCGCCCCAGCATCTCAGCATTCATGAACCGCCTGGTACCTTGAGGTATGTAGAAAAAACATTTAAAGCTATGTCCATGTCTGAATCATCGAATCTCTCTGAATCGATTTGGAGGGTTCCGATTCTATTTGGAGAGATTAAAGGGTCTCCTGATTCAACTCGGATCCGGAGATTTGGCCACGGAAATCGGGCTGAATCTCCACCAGACCGAATCAACAACCAAAGCTTTGCACAGCCTTACTTTGTACCCCTGCTGCACTATCAGAATAGCCTAAAAGATGATAGAGTGAGGCGATGAATCTGGTCAAATTGGAATACATTCACAATAGTGGATTGAGCATCCTTATTCTTATGCCAGGGCTATAAGTGGTTAGGAATCATCCAACTCTATAGGTTTTTATATGATATTCTGCAAGACATTATCCAGACAGCAACATATTTATTTTTCATGAAGATGTTTAGTCTGCAAGGGCACCCTCCATTTCCCTTTGTGATCTATCCACAATTTCTTTTTTCCATGCATCCTTGTGCACTCAAAGGCACCTTCCATTTGATTCATTTAGTCAATGCTGAATAAATGTTATTTGCATAACATATCATTGAAAGTAATTTCAGTTGGAACTGATTATGTGTTTACAGGAGGGGTAAAAGTGGCTTGCAACCAGAAGCCTGTGTTTTATCAGAAGAAAAGCTACCTTTCAGGTTGTTTGACAAATCTATTTCTTGGCATTTCAGAAATATTCTATATTCTGAATATGCTTTTGAGAATAAGGCATTTTTATTATAGCAAGCAATGTGCTGGATGAAAAACTTTTAAATACTATTTATTGTGATACATATACAAAACCATTACCTTTTGGTTAACGGTGTTAGGGTAACACTATGTGGATTTTCAGAAAACACTGGATCTGCAGCTGAATAAAGGCACGACCTGTGGCCTAGCAGAGCTGCTGACCACAAGGCAGAATGAGATCTAAGCCAGCCATTTGCTTATGCTAAGTGACCATCGTAACTGTGTCAACCATTTTCTGAGGAAAAAGCAGCAAGTGAATCTGTGTGAGTCCGTGTGCTGTGAAAGAGGTGACGTTTTAGGAATGTGGAAGATGGTACAACATGAGACTAAAAAACAGACTGGAGTGTGAAAAACAACACATAATTGGTAACAGAATCCGAAATGAACATATGCAAAAAGGTGAATGGTGATTGGTGAAGAAGCTCCAGAAGCTTTCAGGTTTTGGTCAAAGTTCGCCCATTGACTGAAGAGCAGGAGTCAAGGTCTTTGACATGCACTCATAGCAAAAACACATGTAAATGCATAGGCAATTCTATGCTAATGAAGCAAACAGTAAACAGAGGTGGAGCTTGAGATGGGAGGAGAAATGGGTGGGACGGGAGGAGGGACGAAGGTGGAGTGAACGTTAATGAACCTAAACCAAAGTGTATAAATGTGGGAAAAACTATTGTTCAGTGCAGGTCCCCGAAGCCGTCTTCATTCTAAATAAAGCTGTTGCGAGCAATGTGTGCTGGTGTTTGCTCCCTTCCTGCTCTGGCTAATGAGTAACAGGACCCATGAGCAACTGGAGTGTCTCCCTAGTTGTTGGGCACCTCATGGAGTCAGGGGTCTAACAAACAGTAATAGTATTGGGTAACAAATAATGATTTCAGTAAAGAACTAGGGGGAGCCTTCATACTTTAGGAAAGCCAATTTAGTTCTTCAATACCAAAGTACTCCATGTATGTCTTCCATACCAGTATTGTCTCAGCCTGCACATATATAACCTGCGGTATTTCCTGCAGTTATCAAAGAAAGTGAAATATGTACAAGCACAAAAGAGTAGAGAAAAAAAAATCATATACATTCTTTCCACACCCCACCTCTTCCACTTTCTCTTTCTGGATTGTAATAAGCCCCCCTCTCCACACTGAAGAATGATTTTAGAATCTAAGTTCAAGTAAATCATAATGAAAAACTAACAGAGGTTAATTAAAGAGGACGAGTGGCAGCACCATCATCTTCTTTGGCTTATTACTTTAACAGAAATATCTGCAATTTGCAAAAAGAGCTAAGTGAGGAAAAAGTATTACTCTTTTGGCAATTATATTGAGAGCTGAATTTATAAAGGCTTATTCATAAATAAACATATCTTTTTACATAAATTTTTATGTAAAAAAAAATAAATAATGCTATTTATTTAAAGATGTATACAGTAATGTGATTGTTAAACCATAAAATTACAGATTTTAATGCTATTCAAAGAGTTTTAATTATAAAATAAAGAACATAGTGAATCCTTGGTGGATATTTATAAAATAATCTTGAAAGATTTCTTGTGGCTGAATTAAATCGTATCTTGCACTGAATGTATGTTGATATAGATTTTATTATAGTTATGATCAGAGATAAAGAAACAAAATACAAGAACAAAGAACCAAGTGTAGGTGAGATCCTTTTAGGGAACATTCTAAAACTAAGGCAATGAAAGCTAGTGTCTTTCTAGTAAAGCAAAATATATAGAGCTTTGTTAGTTACTTATTAAATGTTTACCTTTAGCCAGATTATATTTTAACCTCTGTTTGAATTTTGCAGCTAAAGAAAGAAGAAAAAGTATTGCTCTCTAGAAATCTCTGCCTCAGACCAAAACTTGAAACTACCTTTGGTGTTTTCAGGTAGAACACATGCAACATGAAAACAAGAAAGGTATGTTTCTAAAATGATCAAGTTACAGTGAAACCCTTTGTGGAGAGGGTTTAAGCTTGGTTTATTGTCTTCTACCTTACATCGGTATAACTACTTTTAATAATAAGGTGTTTTCCCACAAGTCTACTGAAAAACTAAAAATAACATTTGCTTTATTCTTTATGAATGCTTTTCTCCTGCCTTGTGGAATAATCCTTTACAGAAATTCTCAATAGATAATTGAGCTAAAAGAAACTGTCTTGACTTGCACGCATTTTACAAATGTACTTGTTTCAGTCTTAAAAAAGCATTATGAAAATTTATCATCCCAAGCACAACTTTTATTTGTCCATCATACCTATCAAATATTATTCATTGAAGAAAAAATAAATCTGCAGATATGATAGATATTATAATTTTGCTTTTCCAAATTTTTCTTAGAGTCAAAGGAATTCTTACTTTTCTTTTAAAAAGAGGAAAAGATACTATTTACATAGCACCAAAGCTGTATTTAACAATAACTGTCCCTCTCTGATTGTTCATGTTCAGTCATGTCTCGTTACCAGGGCACAATGCACATTAAATAGAAATTAAAAAGGAAAGACTGGTTAGCTAGTTTCCTTGGTTCCTCTAACAAAGCTAGTGGCAGAACTGTAATGCTATCCAGTACACCCACAGATAGAGGAATGACCTTCTGGGAAGGTTAGCTGCAAAATAAGCAGGGGTAACTGATGAACAGGGATCTGGGTTTTCTGTTTCCTATGGAAAAACAGAGAAAACCATGGATTTCCTGGTTTTATCAGAGAAAATGCAGATTTTCTCTTTCAGCAGAGAAACCTGAAGATTTCCCCTTTTTGCAAAGAGCTCTGCAGACTGGCAGAGTTACAGCCTACAAGAGCTGTTTGCAAAAAGGGCAGGAAAGGCCCAACCCTGCCTGGAGGGGCAGGGGGAGGGGGAGTGGGGGAAGGGCAGAGCCTGCGGCTTTTAGGTCAGGCTTACTTTCCTCCCAGAGCCTGTTAAGTGGTATGTGGGGCTTGCAGGGGGCTGGAGGGTTGAGGAGCAGGTCTGGGATGGAAGCTGGCTGGGGGCTAGGGAGCGGGGAGATGTTGGGGAAATACATGGAGTGTCTGGCCAGTGCCTCCATATGCAGCTTCCCCTAAGGGCTGCTAGAGTTGCTTTCATTTCATGTGCCCCCAACCAGGCACTCTGGCCTGTGTATGGAGGCAAGGGGCACAAGCCAGGCTGGGGGGCTGTTGTGGGGGCAAAGAGGGGCACCAGCAGGGCCAAGGAGGGGGTGCTGTGGGGGGGCTTTAGTTTAAAATTATGGATTTTGAGGTTTTTATCAGAGAATTAGCTATTTTTTATCATGGAAAACCAGGATCCCTGCTGATGAATAAGCAGTCGTGGACCAAGCAGTGGCACCACCACCAGGATGTGGTGGGGACAGCAGATGGCAATGCTTTCCTGCCTGAAAAGCCACATATATCCTTTGATGGTGCCGTGACATGGCAAATATAGGTTGCTACTATAATAAGCCTGCTCAGACCCCAGCCATGGGTCTAC